CAGAAATAGGATGTTAAATACCCATGGTATGCTTGAAGAAAAAAAGAGACATCCTCATGTGATCAAGAGGAGAGTGTTAAAATATGATAAATTAACTGGATTTATCACCTTTCAGTTTCACTCTGTTATATACACAGGGGGTTTTTTACATCAAAAAACCAAGCAAACGAGAGAAAACGAGAGAAAACAAGAAAAGAAAAGTAGGTAAAACAAAAAAAAAAATTGTCAACCTGCTGTTTGTGGAAGACTGTATGGATGACAAAAACTAGCATTATTTGAGTCTCACAGGCACTAGAAAATTTTCAATATTAAGAGATTCCTATTTTGGTTTTGCTAATATTGTAATTAGAAAGTAATGGTAAACAGCTGAGATTAAGTATTTGCCAGAGATTCAGATTTGCTTATATTTTTTAAGGATTTTTTTTTAAAGTCTAGGGGAAAGAGGAAGATGGAGAGTAAAATTACTCTACCAGTCTGTCCTAATTTCTCCATTTATGAACATTCATAAAGGAGGAGAAAAGAGCACAGACCAAATTATACTCTTTAAGTCTAGTCTCTGTCATTTAAGTTTGCAGAAAAACATATGTCCATCAAAGTTTCTTTAGAAAATTTATAAAGTTAGGTCTGCAATTATCTGGTAGAAATGCCTATTCAGTTTTAATCCTCTCCTTAGCCTCCATTAGAGCAATTGTATCTGTTTGGATAGGATAGTCTGTAGATCAGAATGACAATAAAATAAAGAATATAGACTTACAGACTGTGGAGACTTGGTACACTGTGTCAAATTGGTTTAATTCTGAGAGAAAGGATGAGAGTTTCTGCTCTGTTTTGATGTTGTTCAAACATAAACAATAATATTTGGAGTTGCATACCTACAAGTTTTTGCTGTCATGCCAAAATAAAAGCTAGTTTGTACAGTTAAAATAGCAACACATTGTAACACTATCACAATACTCTAACATTTGAGCCAGATATTTCAGATGATTTACATAGCTATAAAAGACTTATTCCAAGGAAAACTTACTCACACAGTGTGAGATCAGAGGTATTGGCCAAAACAAATGAAGCTGAGCCCAGAGCATTCATCACAGCAATACAGTGTTGAGGTGCTACTTACGGATGCAGGGAGAGGAGCACCCATATCCTTCCCACCTGCATCTCAAGCCCTGGCTTCCCCCTGTGTGCTCCAGAATGGATCCTGCAGAATCCTACAGGGTTCTGCAGCATGAAGGAAAAATCCCAGTGTAAGGTTTATCCCTTTATCTTGCATGGCACTGCAAATACTTGATCTCTTTTGGTCTGCAAATGTTTATAAAAATCCAAGAGATTCGGACTCTGTAGGTCACACTTGTTTATTATAGAACATATATGTGATATATTTATGCACAATATTCAGGCATAATTTAGTAAAGCTGTAGTTTTGAGGTACTAGAGCTCAGACACTGCTAAGGTAATGTAACTTTTTCTGCAAAGCCTGTACATTAAAAAACCCCACTATTTCTGCCAAAATCATTACATTAATGAAGGTAGAAGATGAATGATGATATTAAAACAAAGATCAAGCAACAACATGGTGAAGAAGTCCATGATTTTAAACTCAGGATATTCCTTCTGCATCTATAAACAAAATATTAATTATTACCAAAGCATACTAATAAATTAATCACAAGTCAAAGTAGAAATCAGCTACCTTCAATGTTCTGTGGACCAACAAGATTCATAGCCTGGTGTGCTGGATATTCTACACGGGGTCTGGCAATGCCCAGTTGCTCCATAACCCCATGGAGGAGCCTTTGTATATCTGCTTCAGTAACCCTGTCAGGCATTCTAGGGCTGTGGCTAAACGCTGAAGCCAATCCAAATGCCAGCAGAAATATCATGTTGCAAAACAAGGTAGTTATCATAGTGGTAGCCACTTTTATCCTGTGAAAAAGAAAAGAATTTGATTATAAATTATAGTGGGGAAAAAAGTCCTATACACATGGTGGAAATAACATCTGATATTACCACCGGACATCACAGTTTACTACCACAGCTTCTAGGGGCAGCTGAAAGTCTAGCCAGGTGGAAACTGGGAGGGGAGGAGGGGGGGAAACAGGGTGGGTTCGTTCTTCCCTTTTAAAAGAAATATTAAGTAGCAAACTGCAGAAATCAGTTTTCTGATTTGTATTTGCCCATAACATTCATTAACAGTCACTGCAAACAAAATGAATCCATTTTTTCATTTAATGAGAATACGTCATCCACTACACCCCTCCCCTTCCCCCTTCCCCCCCCCCCCCCCCCAGGTTTATTATGCTATTTTATAAAGCTCTGGACTAAGAACTCTTCAGGCAGGAACTGTATTTTCCAAGCTCTATTCTTGCATTGACTGAAAAATGAATAACGAGAGACCTCTGAACAACCTAGATATGGTTTTTTTGCAGTTGAAAACAAAAGGCTTCCTACTTCATATGCATCATCTTTCCCACCTGAAGCAAACTGGTTTGTTTCCTTGAATCCCTTTCACTAAATGGCTGCTCAGTGTAGTTTAATTAGGAAAAAAACCCCCCAAAGCCAACAACAAAACCAACAACAAAGCACCACTTACTGTCCTCTTTGAAAGGCTGAATTTTAATTACAACGCTTGTTTTTTCAAACCTCCTTTTCCCCTCACGTCAGAAAATAATTAAAATGCATCACTTCCAATCCCTTAGATAAACAAAAACCCCTCCACTTCCCCTGGTGCCCTCCCGTGTGCCCTTAACACACGCACAGCTGCCTGATTTCTCCACTCCAGACAGTTAAAGATGCTCCAATACTCCAGCCGCTCGACGCAAGGCACCTGGAAACGTCTTTGAGGCAAAAATGGCTGAAAAACCCCGATGCTGGGAATATTCCCAGCTACGCCTGTGCGCGGCTCCCCCACCGCACCGCACGCCCCTCGCAACCCTCCCGCTTCATCAGCCTCTGCGGCCTCTGTGTCGAGGAAAAAAGCCCGCTTTCTACAGAACATTCCCTTTAATCCGCAGAGCAGCAGGGCTGCCACTCCGCTGCCCGCACCACCGCGCCCTTCTGTGCCGCCCCCCCCGGGCACCTGGGCCGTGACCCGGCCCCCAGGGCAGCTCTGCGGCACCACGGACCCCCCGGGCCGGGCCGGGCCGGGCCCTGCCGCACCGCGGAGCGCCCCGCTCACCTCCCGCTCATCTCCCGCTCACCTCCCGCTCACCTCCTGCTCCCAGCGCGGCTCTGCGGGTGCGGCGGCTCCGCGGCCGCGCATCCTCCGTGCGCACACACGGCCTCTCCCCCGCGCCGGGAGCTGCCCGAGGTACGTGCAGGGACCGTGCCCTCGTGGCGTGGGCTTGTCCCGATAAGAAGATGACACAAAGCTTGGGGAGATATTAAAGATCTCCCTTTTCAGCTAAACACAATAGAATAAAAATAAAACTGAAGGGTTGTGATGGATTAACAGTTACAGAAATAAGCTACTACGTATTCCTGGGACTGTATCCGTCTTCTCGCTGTAATTTCTCTTCCCAGAGTAATATGATTTACTTATGGAATGATAGCATTTACCTAACTACAGGTTTACAAGGTATCAACATGGGAACCGTCTCCAAGGATTTATAGGTGAAGGTCCCCAGATTAAACAGATCTATACACATCATCCATAGCAAAGGTTAGCAAGAAGAAAACTGTAACAGAATGAAGTGCACCACTTAATAGCACTTGTCAAAATGGTAACTTCTAAAGGCTAATTTACGTATCACATCTTCACTGCTACTGATGGGAATGTGTCACATTCCATTTTAGGATAGCTAGCTAAAGAGAAGCTCTGAGATTATACTACATAAACCCCAAGAGAACCATGGCCTACACTTTCAAATGTAGACTATTCTCTCTTTTTGCTGTTCTATAGTACATTATACAAGCAAAATTAAGCAGTAGGGACTTCTACTTGGCATCTAGTGTTTCTTTCTGCAAAACATAATCAACTTCATCGAAATGGATATATATCCAAACTGTTCTGCAAAACCTGTAAAAACAGAGCCTAAACTTTGACAATTTTTTTTATGGCATTTAAAGCTTTCTTTGTCAAAGCCCTACCAAATTCTCCCTTTCTGACATCTAAGTATAGTGGTTCAAGATTGGCTTGCATCGATCATCAAAAGTAGGTTACTGCTCCATCTGGGACACATTGTCAAAGCTGCACTAGCATTCAAAATATTTGGTACATACTAACAGGAAAAAAAATCTCAAGACTTACTCTTTCAAACAAAAATTGATATGACAGCTCACTATTACAGGAGTCAGATCTCATTTTTTTCCTGACATTGCCTTCATTTCCTTCTGTCCTATTTTCAGCTCCTACCTCCTTGCATCCACTATGAAAGCTAGCCGTTGTTTTGCTGATCCTTATTTACCTCATGAGAAGATACAAAATGTGGTGCTCTGGTGCCTGCATTTAATCAGCCAAAGGATCTACCAGCACCAGCTAAAGACAGAGGGTAAGAGCATGTTGCCAAGAGAAGGAGTTTCCTCTTTGGATGGTGGTGAACTGTTACATCAACTCCTTTATTTCATGAAACTGAAGCTTCCCATATTTAACCACAACACCAAACAATCCCGTTAAGATATTCTAAAGTCTGTTTCCATAGTCCTAGATCTTAACAGTAATGTAGCAAACAGAGTGAGAGAGGAGGTTTCCACCAGATCAACCAGCTGAACAGATTCAGCTTGCAAGTTGGTAGACACATAGGGAAGGAGGTAAGGAACAGAAAGAACTATTCCTTTCATTAATATACCGCTTAAAAAGGTCAGAAGACTACTGCTGATAAACTGTGTTGCACCATGCCTTTTGTTAGTTGTGAGAATCACCAAACTGTATCTAAGATGAACAAAAAAGACAGCCAGAACAGATTTGCTTCTGACTTCAGTTTTCTCAGCCTTATTAATTTTGGTGCCTACAGTGTGCATATAACAACATAATCTAACTTTCTAAGTCATTATAGAAGAACAAGTTCAGAAAAGGGAAAAAAACCAATGGTTTTATTAAAACCAAAATATCCAGTGCTTCAGCTCTAACATTTTGCCAATAAACAATTCGCATTTATAAAAAGCTAATGAATAGTTTCAAGTGTTTACTCTTAAATAATTTTACAACTGATGACAGACATAAACAGTTTTCATTCTAAAAATTATAAACATTTGCTTGTGCGAATCAACTTTTAACACACTATGGCTTCTTACATTCATCTCTTGAAACACTGTCAGTATCTAAAACCAGCTTCTGCACCATCTAGTTAACACTATTCTATTGCTCTAAAAATAAGTTAAAACTCTCCTCTCATATTAAGATAAAAAATTTTACTGCTCAAAACTGAAAATACTTGGTACCTATTGCAGAGCACATCACTGGATGAAGTTTTTAAGATTTTTTGCCTTTTGAATAAACTTCACATTTGTTTTCCAAGTGTTCTAATAATTCTCCAGTGTATGTGCACGCACGAATTTTATTTTGACATTTACCTACTCAACAAGGAAAATATGCTCCCAATTTACTCCAATAGAAGTAAAAAACATTGTCTCAGAAGAAGTAGGCTCATATAAGATCCAACTTCGTAGTATCGAGTAGTGCTACAACACACTTAAAACTAAAAAGTAAATAGCTTTAATTACCACTACTCAGCATCAAGATATTTTCTTTCCGATGTCTGTTAGTTTTGTTTTAAATATTTGAGAAGTTTGGGGTTTTTTTTAAACTTGGTACTTAATCTAAATACTGCAAAAACTGTTTTGGGAGATGCAGCATGTTTTTAGAAGCTTAAATAATCAAATTTGAGATCTAACACAAACATTTGTAGAAACAGGTTATTTTTGTTTTAGAAGTTAAATTCATTTAGTTGAACTGACATTTACAGAAGTTTCAGTAAATGAAGAAAACCTCAACACAAAACAAATTAATATTTGTACATCTCCACGACTCACACAGTTAAAATAAATCAAAAATTACAAATAATTAGAGTTAAAAAAAAATCATAAAAATTTAGATCTTTCTAAAGGTTAACCAAGTTACAATGAACCCAGTTAGACATGATATTTGATCTCATAAGTCTACTGGCTTTGCAGTTGGTAGCAATTTCACTTTAGATATTGGATTCTTTGGAGAACCTCTATAACGAACTCTTTCTTTTCCTGGAGCACTTCTTGCGATTGTAGATTTTTCTGGGGCAGCACCTTGAATATTTATATTTGCATTAACTTTCAAACTGGATTTAACCGTTTCATGATTGGTTAGATCTTCTAGAACAGATTTTGATGGATGAACAGTCACTTTTTGATCATAGATTCCAGGTCTGACAGAAACATTAGGCTTCTCTGAGGGATTTGATGGCCTGCAAAGTGATTTAGATGTTAAGTCTAGCTGCTTATGAGATACAGAAATTTGGTCACACATACTTTCACTCCTGCACGGCAAACCCATGGAATTCTTTGAGGGCTTTTCTGTGCAGGAGAATAGTGCAGAATCACAGCTCAAAGATTTAACAAGTGGTGAACAAACACTGCTTGATTTAAGTGGCTGAGAGCTTACAGATCGTCTGTTAGCCTCCAACAAGGAATTCATTCTTCTTACAGACTGTCTAACTGGAGTACGTTGAAATTTCAGAGGTGGTTTAGTTTCGCTTGCAGAACTTGGATCATTTAATGAAAGCTTGTTGAACCACTGTATGTGGTCAGAAACCTTTCCACTCTCAGAAACAGTTGATGTTTTAGTTAAAGTTTTAGCAGAATTTTCAGCTTTCAAGTATTGGTTGCCTACTTCATTTTGCAATTTAGGTAACTGTAAAGTAGGAAGCTGTCCTGCCGAAGAAAGTTTAGCAGTACCTTCTTCTAAATTACAGCATTTTACCACACAGTTTTCAGCTGTTTGTGAGTGTATTAATTCTATTTCCTCTTTCCTTCCAAAGAAATCTATTTTGTTTAAGTCATCTTTTGTTGAACTGTTCTGAACAGTCAACTTGTCTTCCCTGTCCAGTACTTGAGGCACAGGAAATTCTGTTAATTTTTTTGTATCTAGTTTTGGGACCTGAAGTTCAATCTCAAGAGATGTTTTGAAGTTTCTTTTCTCCAAAACTTTAATTTCAGGGGGTTTTGATTGCTGTTTATCAGCAGTAGAAGATTGATTAAGTTGGTGCAACAGCTCTCTGGATTTTACATTTGCTAGATTTTCACAAACTTCTTCAGTTAACAATTCTTTCCCTGGAGCGAGCCCTGCGGGACACAGAGTTTCATTTAATGTTTCACCTGCCACATTCATGAGAGAAAACTTATCACCTATCAAATTGTGATGAATACTTCCAGATGCAGAGAAGGCTTGCTTAACTTTCAGTAATGTTTCTGCAGTTGAGTTACTTTCCTCTTCAGAAAGCACAAGTTCCAAGTTGTTGTCTTGTTTGCTTACAGTTGTGGACTTGAATTCATCTGGAACAAGTGGTGGCTTTCCAGATAACGAAACAGATTCTGAAGAGCCAACTCTCATTTCAGGGTGTCCTGGCAGAATCTGCTCACTCTTGCTGATCACCTGAGACTCCATAACAGCAGGACTATTCCATGACATTCGGTGAACTACCTTATTGTCACATTTTGGAGTTAGCAAGTTTTCTTCTGACTTGCTTGCATTCCTTGAACCTTAAAATAAATATCAATGTTTAAGAAGAGTATCTTGTGATTTTAACAATAATTATAGGCAAAATTCTTACTAAAAAACTAATTTTCCAAGCAGTACTGAATTTAAAGACACCATTGCTCCTTTAAATTTCAGAAATGTGAAAAAAGGTTGCAATATTAAGAACTGAAATCATGCATCTCATCTCACTTCACTAACAAAACAGAGCTACTAAAATGCACTAGAAACACAACAAGCCTATCCTAAACCAATTTTTTTCCCCAGAAGCCACTAACACTCAAGTAACTTTAGCTAGAAGCACACTTCTAATCCAATTGCTTTTATACTTTTATTCATAAAGTTACTTTTGCTTTACAAAAACAAAAGTAAAAGTTTTCCCCATCTAATATACCCAGTAAGATAATTACCTTTCTTAGGGAATTTTTCATTGGCATATGGGCTGAAGAGTCCATCTCTTTTTCCACATTCCATTCTGTTTTCCAAACCTTGCTGACTTGCAAGACGCCTTCCAATATTTTCAGATCTATTGCCAACTGTACATCCTGATACAATATTCTTGAACAAACACAAAGTGTTAGTTGCTTTTATATAAACTTGTAATCTCATTTACAGATGAACCTCCAGGAAAAGGCTATGCAAATCAGCCACAGCAGCATTTTCTTGGCCATATTTTATCTTCCCTTGATTCTCTGTAGACCTAGGTAGGGAACAGCCTACCTGCAGTAAGATAGACTTAATCACACTCTGAATAGAGTGATTCTGTGCATAGGCTTTGCAAGGTCAGAAGTTCAGGAGCTGTGAGACCTACTGATCACAAGTGTGGTGGGGTTGATCCCAGCTGGCAGGTAAGGTCCCATTCAGCCACATGCTTGCTTTCCCCATTCCCCAGCAGAATGAGGGGGAGAATTGGAAAGGTAAAAAAGGAAAGACACAGACATATCACAGACAAAAGCAAACAAATAAAAAAATCCAAACCCACACCATACAAAGGCCATCATTTACAACAAGTAGGTCAATTCTCAACAAGCCCCTGAGAAGTGGCTACTTTTCAAAAACTATCCCCATCCCAGTTTTACTAGTGAGCTTGACATTACATGGCACAGAATCACTCCTTGGTCAATTCAGGTCAGCTGCCCTTCTCCCAGCCTCTTGTTCCATCCCAGCTAAACACAGTACAAGCTGATCAGTTACTGCTATGAAAATAAACCTCAGGCTTCTTGTACTTGACAGCTAGCAGGTCCAGTTAATGCTGTGATCCCCTCCATTACAAAATAAGTCCTTCTTGCTACTGAAAATCAGTGCCCAAACCTTTGGATTAAAATCTGCACACTAACAAGAAGACTGGGTTAGAAGCAGAATACTTACCATTTCTCTATTGCTTTTCCCCAAACCAAATTTCAAGCGCAATGACCTACGAACCATTTCTTTTCGGCTGATCTTTGGAGAAAAACAACCTGTCTTTCCTGATTCAGCCCTGGGAGGAAAGAGGGGAAGAAGTGACACATAAAAAAACTCTTCAGGAGCCCAGTGAAAACATCCTGACATTTATGGTTATTTCCTTTAGTTTTACTTACTTTATTGCCTTCTTGCCAACCTTTTTTTACTAGGCACAGGAAGCTACTATACCAGTTCTTATTTTGTTTTGAGCTCCATTCTGCCACATTGGAAGATCTGGTCATTTTAAGACCAGACACAAGTTGCTACCAAAAAAGGTAGAGACAGATTGAGACTTTACATATCATTAGTCAAGAGATGTAGACCCACCTTTCCAATTTATCTTTATGTTCTGAGAGTTAAGGCAAATTACCTGTATAATTTTTTGCTTGCAAGTCTTTTACTTCTTCTGTTCCCCGTACTAGACAGATGATTTTCACCCATGGTTGAAGGAGACAGTGAGGTTTGTGATGACTCAAGAGACACACAGGGACTTGCTTCAAAGTGAACTACAGGAACAAAATTATATTTATATGAATTTAAAATAGTCACATTTTTTCAGGTAAAGACTTAACAGTTAACACAATGAAGAATGGGTTTTTAAACAGCACAAGATTTGTTTTCTTATTTTGTGGAGTGCTGGCTTGAAATTACTTTGACTTCCACTTTAATATTATATGAAGCTGTTCCTTGTAGCATCCATAAAAGTGGCTGGAACGCAATTACATGCTACTGATATCACTACCTCAAGTGAGTTTCCACACTGCTATCATCAAATCAGTTCCTCAAATTAAGAGCTTAGTAAGAAAAATTAGATTCAGTCTCAATATTATTTGCAGTATTTATTTTTTTTACGTACCTAGCCAGAATAGTTAAAGAAACAATAAAGAAAAGAGTTGCTGTTGTACTACTGAACTTTTTTTATGAAACACGTGCATTATACTATCTTTACAAAACGTCATCGTTTTGATTTGCTTATGCACAAACCCAAGAATTTTAGAGAACATGAAATGATTTAATAAATAAAAGCAGTAAGTTTAAGATCACTCATTTGGGGGGGAAGGAATAATCTTCAGGCAAAACAAACAGCCAGTCTAGAAATTTTTTTCAGACTAACTTCGGTTGGCAGGACATTAAAGAACCAAAAAAAAAAAAAAATCCCCACCAGGATCTGCAGAAGAGCCTGACAGCTGAAAGCGCTCTAGTAGAATAAAGTGGTACTAAAGCACTACCAAACAAAAGTAAAAATGATTCTTCAGAGTTTTGAGATTATTTAGCATCTAGAGAAAACAAGAAGTGATTGTATACACGAAAGAACCTTTATAATAGCAACAATCATATTTCACATCGAGCTAAAATCAGCTATTTAAGCATTTAGGAGACAGAAGGCAAAAACTTTCAAGAAGTTGGAAGCATAGGCATGGATTTGTGTTCTAAAACAGAAACAGGAGTATAACCTCAATGATACAGAGGGAGGGAAAAAGTAAAAGGACATCAGGACTGCAAGTCAGAGATTAATAGAAAACTTGGGCTTTTGCTCAGTCCTTGTGACATGACACTACTAATGTACATAAACATACACTATGCAATGAGATGGGGAAGTTGTGCAAGGAACACTAAAGTAATGAGTATCAGTAACTGCCTAACAAGAACAGAAGACTGTACACTTAAATTAAAAAGCCACAAACAACGACTCCAAGCAAAGAGGAAAAAGTGAAGGCACTGTACCTGATGCTGGTGTTGAGTTGCTGTTAAAAATGCTAGTTGGTAAGAACTCAAAGGCAAAACTATGCTTAAAAGACCGTCTCTTCTTGCTGGACAAGCCCTGAGAGCAATCAGTTGGAAGTTTACGCTTGGTACTTGGAGTAAGAACCACTGGAGTCACTGACGAAAGGACTGAAATAAAGAAAATCCAATTTGTAATAACAACTTAAAAGTTTCAGGGTTTACTAAAATAAATAGTTGTTCTGGTTTTTTTAACTCTGAAAGAAAATCGTTATAAAAGCTTAGCCAAAGTGCACGCATTTTGAACAGGCAAAGCAATCAGTATGGCTTAGGGTTCAGTTTTTTATTTTGTTGGGGTTTTTTGCAAGTTTAGAGTATCAGAAAGGAAAATGCAAACCCACACATTAATTAACAATATAGGTATTAGGAGGAAGTAAAAGTATAGTCATATTCCGTAAGTTTAGGAGACAGAGTAAGTGTGAAAGAATTTCAGTCCTGGCAAATTCATTCCCAAGATGATAAAATGCTGCACTACTGCACTGAAGCCTTAGTGTGCATTAGCTAAAAAGCACAAGTTTGGTTGTGTAATCCCAGAAGTAAACCACAGAGCCCACTGCTGCAGTGATTGTAGCTGCTCCAAGAATTACAGTAAATGCAGTATCCTCAATAAATATGTATCTATATTCACAGTTTTAAACAATTTAAATTTAATCACTTATCTTCAACTAAGTTCTAATTCTTCAGATAAAAAAAAATTGTGGAATATAGTTAACAAATATAGAAGATACTGCATGGGCTTTATTTAGTACAAATACACCAATACCTACCGCTTTTGTCTTGTTGAGGTGTAGTGGAGGGTGTTCTGTTAGATTTAAATTTATTCAATGCTCCACTAACAATATCTGAAATGCAAGACACACCGAGCAATCAAGTTTAAATGTGAAGTTTGTCTTGCTCTATTTTCAACTCAAGTTTAACCTGTATTCTTTTCAGGGAGAAATAAAGCAAATCAGTTTAAATGGTTGTTTCGTGTACCAAAACCTACAGTGCTATTGCAACCTACAGTTGTATTTCCATGTGTTCACAGGAAAGCTTAGCAAACTACAGGCTGTGGTACTTTTACAGTGTCTGGTGGATATCCCGTAGTTTTTAAAAGCTCATCTTCAGAAACATAAAATGTAGTAATGCTGTGTTTTACTACATCTGAAAAAGGAGTAGAATCTACCTACTATCAGAATGTGTTCCACAGAACTACCAAATTCTAACTGATTCTCCTCAAAATGTTAACATTTGTGTTTTATCACTTTGCAACTCCGGGATAGTCTCCCTTCTTCAGAGGAAAAGCATATTACACAACAAAACATGCCTTGGTTAAACATATACAATCATACAGCCTTAATTTCAATTGCTGTCAGGTTTAACACTCCTGTTAAATGAGCTAAATACATACCTATATTTTTATAGCAATACATAGAAGATGAGTGTTATAGTGGATTGGAATCAAGTCAAGCATATGTATTCCACAGCATTTCCTCTGAGAGTGTAGAACAGAGGATATACCATTTGATTGTCCACATTTGGCAAAAAAAACCCCACCCAACCCTATTGAAAATTGAAAAAAAATCCAAAACCAAACCAAACAAAAAAACCCCCAAACTAAAAAACCACACCAAACCCCCAGATCCGTGATACCAGAGCACACAGTATCCAATAATATCAAAGTTACACTTCAAAACACAAATTAGATACTCTAATTAAAAACAGACCTGCCATTTGTATCCTTACTTCCTCAAGACTTGATTTATCAAGGTATGTGTTAAAGTATCATTTCAAAACCAGCAAAAAAACCCCAAACCTAACCAAAACAGAACAAAAAACTCAACTTCTACTGTTTTGCAACAGGACCTGCAGCTGACTCAACAAAAAGCTGGATTTGGGTTTACAAATCCATACAAACCAAAATATATTTTTTGGTAGACAACAGACACATTAGAATAAACTCAGTAAATATAAACTAAAGTAATGTGATTACTGAAGTCTTATATAGACTTTGCAAGTCAAGCCCAACAAGTTTCACAGACATCTATTCTGCTTTTGGACAAAGCAAGCATTTAGGATCAGGATACCTGAAGTTTCAATTCTCTTTTTGGTTTTGAAACTTTCACACAACATACCTACCCCCAACACTTCGGTGTCTCCTCCTCTGACATTCACTGGGAGATTCATTTTCACTGTCTTCCTGGCCCCACAGTGAGGGAGTAGATTGAAAGACATCAACACCCAACATTGCAGGAATCTTTTCCAAGATAAATTCTGGTACTTGTCCTGGATTAGTTAAGAAATATTTTTTTAAATTATTCTTAAAAGATGAAAAGAAAAGCTGCATACAAGTTGGTGCAATGAGACATTTTGATAAACATTCATGAACTTACCGATTTCTGCTGCATGGTCAATAAGTGTTTCCACAACAGCAGCTTGCAAGCGAATTTTTTTTTCCATATTAGCTGACATCTTTTCATTTTCATTTGAGTGCAAGAGGTTGGGAGCAAAAATCACTGCCAGATTACTGCTATCCATTCTGTTTTCATTGGATCTTAACAAGAAAAGGTTTTTTATACAAGTTATCAGGACATCAGCAGTGAAAAGACCAAATAAGACAAATGCAGTTAAAAAAATAAAAATGGACTAATTTACTCAAGTGCTTACATAACAAGACAAAATTAATGTGTAGATTTATGCATACCAGGCCAGGTAATTGCACAACTACGTCATTGAAATCAAGAGGATAGAGGTTATAGATCCCCTTCAGTTTTGGGGAATGCAAAGTATCAGTTAGATTACGGTAATTTTGCTTTCCAAAGAAGAATGAGAAATACAGCTTGAACAAAGTCAAGTCTCCAGCTTGGAGATTTATGAAATAAAAGACTATGACTGAATTCTAATGAACGTCTGCAGATAATAAAGTTTAAAGTTCAAACCACTCACAGAAAGTTACAGCACTTGCCTGGAAAGAGAAGTTGTTAAAGGAATTAGGCCTGTTTACAACCACTCTCTTCGCACTCACCTTAATGACACAGTTCTCAAAAAGTTGAAAAAGTATCTCAAAGTTTCAATTATTCTGTCGGCCATCAAACACGACAGCAGCACAGTTGCAGTTTTCTTCTCATTTCCGAGCTGCTGAGCTTTGACAAGGCCTTCCTGCAGGTGAGGTGGAAGGATGGGTTCTGGCAGCTCTCTAAAGAACTGTTTGAGAAGCCCTGCAACATCACACGGCAGTGCAGCTGAGAGGCAGTTCTCACCCTGATCCAGTTTACTCTGAAATTTTTCATAAGAAACATGATTTAAAGTCTTCAACATTATCATCAAATTTTAAGTTTAGGCATTAATCCTCTAGCCCAAGTCAGAAAAGACAATCACATCTTCCCCACAGTTAGCTACAGCCTTGTCATGTGTTACCCAACTACAGTACCTACAGTGAGACACGGGCAATGTTGTCACACCACATGTGTAATTTACGTGTTTCCCATGTACACACCCTCTAGGAGAACATTGCTAAACAAATATTCTCACAGCATCCAGTGTGCACAACTGTTAATTAGCTTGTTCAGTCACAAGGCCAAAATATTTTAAAAATAAAGGGAAACCTGTCAGTTTTTGGACTAGATCTCCTCTCATTTCTAAAGCACGTAATGTTACCAATCTACTTCCAATATTAAAACTTGAATACGACTGAAAAGAGTCCAAATAGTAAAACATGCAGATGATCAAGTGAAATGCAGCTTATTAAGAAAAACAAGAGTAGTTTTACAGAATACCTTTAAAGCCTTTAAACGAACAAGAGATCCAGACTTTCTGAAGAGTCCCTCAGTATGAACATGTTCTTCCAAATATTCACAAGTATCAACCAGAAAGCTGAGAATAGAACAGTAACATAATTCAATGCTCAGAATAAAGCTTGTTTTTTCCAGATAAACTATTTCATAGTTTTGTTATAAACTTAACATATAGAATAATTTCCGCCAGTGACAAGAAGTATAAAGAAATACAACTGAATGAGAGCTGTGGCTCTGAATTCCCCATCTAACTTCTGCATCCCTCCTTCCCCAGTTGAAACTATTCTTATATCCACCATAAGCTTTAGCAGACCTGGAAGAAATATTGCATTCCTTCTTCTGACAAGGGTTCAATACTACAAAGAGAGCAAAGTAGGTGTAAAGTCTAAATATACATTGTTAATTTACCTTGGAATGTAACCATATTCTGGCACAAGTGATCGTGGCAGCGCATAAAAAGATATCCCAAAGATTTTACCCTAAAATACAAAATTCAATTAATATTACTCAAAAGTTGATATAATTATCAACTACATATTACAAAAAAGCACACATTCCACAAGCACAAGTATAAAGGTAGTTAAGACAAAACACAGTCTTTCAGATAAGACAGTATTGTCTGGAAAAGCACTGTCATCAAAGCACTGATATCAAAGACTATGTTGATTCTAGTTACAGGTAACACCCTAGATGATTGAGAAAGAGCACAAAGGTTTTCTGGAGTATGTTTTACACCTTTAATTTTACAAGAAGTCAGTTTTCTTATAGGGCTCCCAAATCAGTAAGGATATTAACCAGATTGTTTCGTAATCTCACTTTAGCTTTTCAAATTACCTAAAGCCTATTTTTCTTAAAATCAACATAAGACAATCACAATAACTTCTTTTTTTTAAAGTAATTTTTTTCTTCATCTCAGACACTCACAATTGCTGTTTCAGGGAGGATTAAACTCAAGAGAATAATCTAGAAAAATGTTCTGAACTCTCATATTTAGCATTTTAGCCAGACATTAAAGTATCTGTTACATATTAGAAAATTAGCAATCTCTTCAGTCATTACTACTGATGTTCACATTCAGCATTTTTTAAACGCAGGTTTATTTCTGGGGTTGCTACACAGTTGTGTCAGTTATAAAAGCCCACATTTCAACTTGGCACTTTTATTTCCTTACCTCACCTCTTTTCCATTTCTATTTACAAAACATGCAAGCCAGTCCCTCTCCCAACCAGAAGAGGATTTGGATCATGCCCAACTTGTTATTAGAGATGGATGCAACCTCTTGGTCATTTATACCTGAAACTTGAACTGCTGACCACGTTAGAAAAATAGTTAATCAGTAACTAGCCCATTAGGCCACTTCATGCCTATCTGTCCTACAGAAAACAAGCATAGCACGATAAGGAAAGAGGAGCAACACACCTGCCATTGTGTTCCAGGTTGCTACCAAAACTAGAAAAAAGAAAATTAACTCCAAGAGATAATATTTTTTTCCTGTATTTACACGACAGCATAATAGAGAATTCCAGTGGTTTGTAATTCAACATTTACAATTCCTGATTTGCTCACTCCTCTAGGTTTTGTGTGAAGTATCTGAAGTTGTGACTTAAATTCGTAGTTGACAAATAATAAAGTTAATAAAATTATGTCTGTTCCCTCACCATAGAAATAAAATGCCCCCAGCAAAACAAATCCTATTCTGTAGCTTTTCCTGCCTTACTCAGTAATTTAAATATATATTTTCTTCCTTGCATACAATTTAAATATTACAGACAGCAACACAGACATATTTTATTAGGACATGCATGTATTACTCACAGTTCGTATTACCTTCTCTTCAAATGAAAAAAGAAAGAAGTGTCTAGAACTGTAGGCTTGATATTGACAAGGGGGAGAAAACTAATTCTAAATTAACTCTTGCTTTGTCCCTTTCCAAACAACCCAACTCCAGCAAGAGTTTTCACAACTTCTTTGGCCTATATTGACCAAGGATTACTGCAGCATTGTGTAATACCTTGTCAGCCTAACAGAAAGCTCAGTCTGAGGATGTTCAGTTCTGTGCCATATCAGTGGCACAGGGATCTTGTTTAGGACTTGACAGTGGTCCACACTTCATAAATTAAGAGTCTACCTGAAGATCAGAGCTCTGAAATGGACTTCAGTGCTGCCACTCATATGATACTTTAGTTTTAAATAAGAGTCCTGAGACAGAAAACACACTTTTTCCCCTTCAGCAAATTCAAAATAGGTATTTAAGATAATGGGACAGATTTCATTCCTAGGACCACTGGCAAATCAAGGCCAGAGCTGTCGGCACCGAAATTCCTATAGTTATGTGTTATACTAGGAAACCATGCAAATGATGTTCTTTAAACAAAAAAAATCTAAGGAATCAAGTAAAAGGCATAGAGCTTTTAGAAACTACACAGTAGGTACGTATTCCAAGAATACAATCACTAAGATTTAAATTCTGTACTGAGAGACATTAATCACAGCAAAGCATAAAAAGCTCTTGCACAGATCAGAGGCAAGCGTGGGTGTTTCAGAAATCCTCAAGTATACGAACAAAAGAGGAACACATCCCCTCCATCATTTGGCCCGCCTGGCAACACGCAAGTCCTGAACTGCTGGGGGCGAGGGCAACAGCATCACTGAGCCATTACCTTCCTGGATCACAACACGGCTGTCTGGCGACTGTCGGGAGCAATTGCTCCCTGGGGAAAACGGTAAAAAGCGATTTTCCCCATTGCAAACGAAAGAGGCCTCCCCGCGGCGGGAAGTAATGCCCCGCCACGGCCGGCGGGAGCCGCAGCATTACGGGAACGGAAATGGTGCCAGAACCGGCGCCCGCGGCCTCGCCGGGGACGCGACAAGCCCCAGACCCGCGTGAGCTTTGGCTCTGCCCGGCCCCTCTGCGCACCCCCACCCTGCTCACCTCCGCCGCCGCCGTCGCCGCTCCCGGCTCCTTGGCCGCTGCCAGACAGCTCCCGCCCTTCACTTTGATCCCATACGAGACCCGGAGCTCCTCCAGCACGGCCAGCCGCACCAGCCGCCGCCTCTGCTCCGCCATCCCGACGCCCCCCCGCCCTCTCTCCCCCCTGTCCCGTCCCGTCCCGTCCCCCCTCAGACCCCGCACAGCACCATCACCGCCCGCTCGAACCGCGCGCGGCCCTGCCCGCGCCTCCCATTGGGCCGTTTGCGTTCGAAATCAGGACCCGCCCGCCCAACGGCCCACCGGGGCTGCCCCGCCGCGCCTGCCACCCGCGCCGCCTCTTAGTCTCCCTCAGCCCAAGGCCCCCGCGCGGCGCTTTCGGGCGATCGTAATGACTACCTAAAGGCCAGGGGGAGCGGAGCAGCGGGAAGGGATACATTCCCCATCCCGCATCTCGTGTCCTCCATCCCGCATCCTTCATTCCCCAGCCCCACCACGTGCCCGCCCCTCGCTCCCAGAGGTGTCGGGCCAACGGTGCCGGGTTCGGAGTTGGTTCGGTTGGTTGGTTACTTGGAAATAAGTGTGTTTCTCTGCGAATGTTTCAATTAAAAACAGTACACCAAAGTTTTGTGAGTAAGCTGGATTCTTCCACCGAACCTGATCGCAACGGTGTTGTATATTGGCATATGAAAAAGGTCGAGATTCTTCCCATGTGTTTCAGTCAGAGACAGTGCAGGTCCCTCTGAGGGGACTCATCATTTTCTGTTGACAAAACTACACTCCTAAATTTAAGCGGCAGTTAAACCATTAGTGCCAAGTTTGTTTGGAGTTTCTAAATTTGGGGTTCCTTGTCTGTTCCATACAATGATCTCATACACCTCTTCCTGACTCGGGGTTTGCACTATGTTGTTATAGAAAAAGCTGCTCCTTCTTTTTTTTTTTTTTTTAATTTTCTATTCCGAAGGTAGCTCTTGCAAGTGCCAATAACACTCCAATTAATCAAATGCAGTCTTTCTGTGTAGAGTCAGAAAAAAGTTCTGTACTGAAAATAAGCTTTCCAGCTTTTCCCTTATGCATGTTTTGTTACTGAGTCTTACTTCACTGAGACACATACAACAAAGTTTAGACATAGAATGATAATAAGCTTGTTACAGTGCTCTGAACACTTATGGACACAAAAACTAGAGAATAAAAAGAGAATAGCTAGAATTTTTCCCAAAGTCATCAAAATATAAATAGCAAAAAAACCCCAAACCTAAAAAGACCTAGCAGCAAGAATAAATAGCAGATTAGATATGAATTTTCTCAAGTAAGCCTCCAGGATTTTGATTATGAATGTCACAATCAAGTCACTGAGCAAAGTAATATTCCTCTAAATGTAGCTTTAGTGCAAAAAACGTAATAATGTACTTAAGTATTTACTTACTGTAGGTATTACCATCTGTCCTGGCATTGAAATGACATGAAAATATGAAATTTCAAAACCTGAAATATCAGTGATGAGAAAAAAATAAAAATGAAGGAATAAAGTAAATAGGTACCATAGAATTTAATTTAAATAATCTCTATTCTACTTAGTTTTTTGTAGTAATGATGAATTAATTACACAAGAGGGAGCTGTGATCTGATAAAAATATCAAAAGTTTTCAAGTCAAGTATTTTCTGTTCAATAGTCATGTAAGAAAAAAACACATTATAATAGTATGTGCTGCATTTTTTTACCAAAAAAAAGTGATGGAGATGATCTTTTTATATCTTGCAGAGGATAGTTAAAGCAACAGTATTAGCTATTAATTTTGTTAAAAACATTTGTCAAATATTTTAATATCTTTAGGTGACTATTTTAATATATTTCTGTTTTATTTGCAAATAGAGACTAGAGGAGGAAAAATTACTTTGAAAATAAGAACTATGATTTTGGGACCAGTTGTAGCATCCCAACTCAAATCTATTACACGAGTTTGAAATTGAGTTAGAAAAAATAAACAGCTATTTTTCTTCTTCCCCCCTGCACTCCCTTCACCCCAGATTGTCTCAGAATTGATATGCCAAGCTTCTGGCATTTTAAATAGTTCTAATTTTAAGCATCTCTGGGTGAAATCCTACCCTGAGTGAAGTAAATTACATACCTCTCTTTTGTCATCAGGAGGGCCAGGCTTACACTTCTTTTTACTTGTAATACACAAATGTATTCGTACACATACAGACACAGACACTCTTTGCATTATTCATATATAGGTATATGTTTACATTTTGGAACTAAAAAGACCAAAACATGAGCACCTACATGCCATTTAGCGTGGCAGTTTGTGAATTGTGGAAGCTACATCAGAAATGAGGCCTTTGAAAGAGAAGTCAAATGTTTACTAATAGTCTCATTTCAATAACCACTCAGAACAGTTAGTGGTCGACCAACCAGAAAATCGGCCAGATAAGCAAAACCAAGCTACTCCGACAAGCAGGGAAACATGAGGAGTACGAAAACCAGACCTTACTCTGAAGTACCCCTCCCTGAACAAACTCAGAACTTGATGGGAAGGAGTGCAAGTATCCCTCGTTCTGGCAGTACAATGACTTGTTTTGCCTTACTTCTTCAAACAAACAAGCTGAGGGAAGAAAGATCATAAGGGGAGATTATGAAAAATAAAAATCATGAGGGGAGAAATCCAGACCGTTCCATTCAGAAGAAACTGTGAAAAGTATCTGCACAAGACACGTTTACGCATTGATGTCCTCAGAGTTTGACTACTAGCAGAGTTTATTCAGAACACCCTTACTCATTCTCGTTTCTTCCTGGCTTTCTCTCTTAATGAGGAATTATTTATTCCAACTCCCCTCTGTCATCTTTCCATGTTGTTCAGCCTGCACTTCTGTTAGTTATGTTCCTTTTCTGTCTTCCACTTTCCCTGCTGCTTTGTCTTGTCTTCAGTAAAGAATCTGGCCTGTGACTGAAAGTGCTGAGAGGGGATCAGACATATGGAATGTTGTCCCTACTTGCAACTGTTCTGAATTATGTCAGAGGCAAAACAATCTGGATATTCTGAATACCATCAACATTTAAAGTTAACTACATCCCTTACTTCTGTGACTAGCATGATGAAAACTATTTACAGATCAAGAAAATTGTAAGGAAGAGGATTTAAAGTGTATTTGAAGTAAGGAAATAAGGTTGGAGAGAGAGTCCTCTAAACTGACATTCAAGATGAGTTTCCTCTGAACCATGGTTTGAGGATAGAATAATTCTATTTAACCCAAGTTTCACTTGGGTTATGAATTAGTCTCAGCTTACCTGTTTCAGGATGGTAAGTTTCAGGTTTTCAAAGAGGCAGTTGCAGAAAACTAGATATGATGATCTTAAAACCTTAGTATCAATTGTATAAATTATAATCATCATCAGCATGATGATTCCATGCTGGGAATCATCAGTATTATGTCTGAAATAGTCTAAAACTTTTTGGATTTTGTGAAAAGCAGTAATTTAATTTACTTTTTTATGTACTAGTGCTGTAGTCAAATAGGTTTTTCTAATGAAATTTTGGAACATTTATCAAATGACAGCAGTATACAGCATACCTGTCCTCACAGGGTGGATAATCTTTTACCCTCATTCGTTTTTCTTAGGGTGCTCCATTTCTCAGAGAAGATACTCATAGCAGTCTTTTGTTTCTATTCAGGATAACAATTCTATGTTTAGGTTTTTGCTTCCAAGAAACACAAAGTAAACCCAGTTTTAAATCCTGGTTTGATAGATTTATTTAATAATAGCCTAAAATAAATTCTAGCTTCTGTTTCGGATTTGTTGTTGTTGTTTTGGTTTACTGTATGTTGATGCGGGGGGGGGGGGGGGGGAGTGGAGGGGGACTAGCTTTTATAGCCAGTATTTTTATTTTAGACTTGAAAAAGTGTCTGAGTGCTTAAAGACTTCTCTGGTTGTTTTTTCCCTACCTATACCAGTTGGTCTTATGAGACCTATTACCTACAAACATAGTCTAGGGATATAGGTAGGATAATGACAGTTGCCCTGCCACTAGTGCACAGAAATGCTTTGTGTGTTTGTATCTTGCAGAGATATAAGCTTGTTTGGAAATCTGGGTATTAGCTACTGCTGCATCTCTTTGTGCATCAGCAAAGATTGCAGATCTCCCCAACATGGTCTCAAGGTATCTACTGCAAGTCTGCTTGTTCTCTAAACACAGGGACAGCAATAGCTTATTCAGTCTCAAGCGAGGTCTTCAGGGCAGAGCAAAATGGTAATTCATAGAATCATAGAAAGACCTGGGTTGGAAGGAATCTTAAAAATCATCTAGTTTCAACTCTTTCACCATGGTTAGGGATGCCAGTGACTGGGTCAGATTGCTCAGAGCATGTAAGATCCCAGGTTCGAGCTATGAGCTCATCAAAGGGGTTTCACTTTAAAAATACAGAAAGCTCCAAAAATCCGCTCGCCAGATCTATTAAAAGAGTCTTCAGGTCTTTCATATCTTGAGAGAGCTCATGGGAGAAGATGCTGCACATATTTCTCAAGAGGTCAAATAACACACTTTTACTGGGAAACTTTAGAAAAAAGGGAACTTGGCAAAAGTTTAAAAGGCAACATTCAACCAAAATAAAGCATTTTACAAAGCATTGTCTTAACACCTGCTAGCCCATACGGCTTAGCAAAATCCAACCCATACAGCTTTTAGTTACCCAAATATCAAGAAAGGAGATTAGGAGAAGAAGAAGAAGTAAAGGAAGAGAGAGAAAAAGAGACAATTACAGCTACTACCCCAGATCCAGTGTAGATCCAACTACCAGGAGTCCAGGAGATGGCAGGATCACAATCACACAATGGCTGCATGGTGCTGATTTTATCTGCTCTGGCCCTCTGGGGCAATCTGCCCCTACTCTGAGGCAGGACTTCTGGTGTGCCAGCCAATCTGACACACACATTTAAGCTGGTCCGAGCCAATAATTAATATAGTAATCCAGAGTCTCACAGTGCCACACATTGAAACTGGCCTTGAACACTTCCAGTGATGGGGCATTCACAACTTTTCTGGGCACCCTGTTCCAGTGCCTCTCCACCCTCAGAATAAAGAATTTCTTCCTAACACTTAATCTAAATCTCTCCTCTTTTAGTTTAAAACAGTTCCTATCACTACTTGCCCATGTAAAAAGTTGCTGTCCCTCTTTTTTGTAAGTCCCCT